CAGAGGAGGAAGCAGACTCCCTGCCGAGCAGGGAGCCCGATGCGGGACTCGATCCCGGGACTCCAGGATCATGACCTGAGCCGAAGGCAGTCGCTTAACCGAATGAGCCACCCAGGCGCCCTGAGTGAGCCATCTTGAAAATGAACCCTGTGGTCCATTCAGCCTTCAAATGGCTCCCCCAATCCGCAACTTCACCACATCTCATGAGAGCCCTAGGCCACACCACCCACAGAAGCTGCTCCAAGATTCCCGACTTACTCTTCACATAATAAACGTTTGTCATTCTAAGCTGTTAAGTTTTGAGGAAATGTGTCATACAATAATAGAGAACAGTACAACTGCCCAATCCAGAAACCACAGACACAGGAAGCCTGAAGGTCCTCCACATGAAGAAGCTGGAGAACAACGGGGATGCCTGGAGAGAGAACGAACTCCCCTTTAGCAGACGTAGGCAAGTGTAGGGAGAAGAAGCGTCGGAGAGATTACAGCAGGGATGTATGTATGGTACCTTTAAGTAACTTCCAACCACCACATCCAACAAATGTAATTGTTCTAAAGTTCTCCTCAATCTAGATTAGATATATAGATATATATAGGTATATATATATATATACTGGTCTCAAAAAAGCCAGAATGGAAGAGTTGATAAACTATAAACAGATAGTTGATAAACTGACTAAAATGTATCCAAAGCCTCCTCATTAGAACTTTGGAAATAATTCAGTATTTTGACAGAGAAAAGTGGTGACACAGGAAGCTTCCCTGAACATTTTCATTTCTACCTCCTACTCTCCCAGACCGCTTGGCTCACCTTCCCAGCTGATATCCAACAAATGTTTATCTCAGTGAACCACCCTCCCTCAGTCCTCTCATCCTACCTGCCCCTAAGAAGAGTTCTAGTACAGTTCAAATGAAGAGAAAGCTGTAGTATAATCTATCTGTTCCCCCGACTGAAATTGAGAAACGAACTCCTAGGGCACTGACTTTTCAACATTCCTAATGTTTACACCAGAAACACACACACACACACAATTTACAATTAAAACTGATTTTTCAGCAAACAACACTCACCATTATAGTGTGTGTGCATAGCATTTTGGTATTATTCTATTTCATTTTTTTTTAAATAACAGCTGGTTAGAATCCATGACTCAATATGGGTCCCAAAATATAGTTTGAAAATATACCCTAAGACATACTCCTGAAATCCTACTTAGAGACAAAATGAAAAAAAAAAAAAAAAAAGACCAAAATAATAAATTCCCCTCAATCTTATGTAAACAAGATTTTCATTTCCCCACATGTATAAAATACACATTAAGGCTTAGGTTTCAACCTAGTCCAGGATGGCCTCAGGCAGTTTCTATTCAAATACAGATAATTACCCAGGCCCTAAAATTCCTCCAGTCCTACAGCTAATGACTGGAAAATCCACAAACAACCCTCCCTAGAATCCCCTTCTCACTCTTTTTTTTTTTTTTTAAGATTTTTTATTTATTTATTTGAGAGAGAGAGAGCACATGAGAGGGGGGAGGGTCAGAGGGAGAAGCAGACCCCCTGCTGAGCAAGGAGCCCGACATGGGACTCGATCCCAGGACTCCAGGATCATGACCTGAGCCGAAGACAGTCGCTTAACCAACTGAGCCACCCAGGCGCCCCCCCTTCTCACTCTTAACCAAGTCTGCCTCAAAGGCAAATTTTCAATCTTGTCAAATTTTTTAAAAGGAAGTTAAGAAGGCCGCAAAATAAAACATCGGCAAAAATCTAGATTTGCCTGGACAGAGACCTATAACACATTTTTTTGTACTTCCACAAAACGGACCACTGGTTGCAGTTAAAAAGAGTAAAATCAATCTGCGGAGGCAGAAAGTAGATTAGCGGTGGCCTAAGGGTGGGAATGCAGAGTGACTGCAAACAGGCACAGGGCTAATGGAAAAGTTCCCAAACTGGATGGTGGTGGTAGTATCACAACTCTGTAAGTTTACTAAAAATTGAATTGTACACTTTAAATAACTGAATTGCAAGGTAATTTGTACGGCAATTATTTATTGTAAATTATATCTCAGTAAAGCTGTTTTTTTTATTTTTTTATTTTTTCAAGATTTTATTTATTTATTTGCCGGGAGGCAGAAGCACGGGGGAGAGGCAGAGGGAGAGGGAGAGGCAAACTCCCTGCTGAGCAGGGAGGCAGCCATGAGGCTGGATCCCAGAGTCCTAGGATCATGCATGACCTGAGCCGAAGGCAGAGGCTTAACCAAGTGAGCCACCCAGGTGCCCCGGTTTTGTTTTGTTTTGTTTTAATTAATAAAGCTGTTTTTTTAAAAAAAGAAAGATTTGGGCGCCTGGGTGGCTCAGATGGTTAAGCGTCTGCCTTCGGCTCAGGTCATGATCTCAGGGTCCTGGGTTCGAGTCCCGCCTCGGGCTCCCTGCTCCTTGGGAGCCTGCTTCTCCCTCTGCCTCTTTCTCTCTCTCTTTCTCTCTGTCTGTCATGAATAAATAAATAAAATCTTTAAAAAAAAAAAAAAGAAAGATTTATCCATCTGTGTTAGATGAGGAAAAACATCCAAGAAGATACATGTTAGATAAAACAAAGTGCAGAATAATGTGTATGACATGTTCCCACTTGCATTTTTAAATGGTTATACATTTACCATTACCGACACTTCTTAAAGGACACCCAAGGAGCTTGATCATAACAGGTGTCTCTGGGAAATGAGTCAAGGCGGAAGAAATTTGATTTTTTTTTCTTTTCAAGAAATTTGATTTTAACCGCATTCCCTTTTGTATTGTTTGAATTCTTTTGCCTTGAGCATATGAAAATAAGTTGGTTAGGAGCCCTCAGAAGGAGGACCCTCACAGTAGTTAATTACGGTGCTAATTAATACTGTCTTTTGAGGAAGGGGCTAGCACTGTCCTTCAGAATTTAAATATTTCTGGGTGCCTGGGTGGCTCAGATGGTTAAGCGTCTGCCTTCGGCTCAGGTCATGATCCCAGGGTCCTGGGATCGAGTCCCGCATCGGGCTCCCTGCTCCTTGGGAGCCTGCTTCTCCCTCTGCCTCTCTCTCTCTCTCTCTGTCTCTCTGTCTCTCATGAATAAATAAATAAAATCTTAAAAAAAAAAAAAAGAATTTAAATATTTCTCAGAAGACAATGTTAAAAAGGTGACGGTCTTGAACAATAAGATACCTAAAGTGACAGAAATCTACCCTGAAACCTCAGTGCACAAAACCCAACAGGAAGATAATTTGAACGACCTTTAAGGAGCAAAATGTGGTTGGTTTCTTAAGTTTTAGTAGTCAGCTTCTGCAGGTGCTGGAACAAAATGGAGTGGTTTCTGCTTCACAATTATACATCTGAAAGGTATTCAATACATTCTGAGCAAACACAAGACCACATGCATCTAGAAAATCGAAAATATACTCAACAAAATTTATTAAAAGTAAAAAGAATACACAAGTGAAAAAACTAGAAATGAACCCAAAGGGCCACTGAACACCATACTCCCAAAGTCTGTAACCAGATCTCTGGTAGCTGCCCAGATCCTGGCCTGGCTTCTGCCTTCTTGCCTCACCTCATCTCTTGGCTTTTGTTCATCTAAGTACCTGATCGAGCTCTTCACCTTGCTACTCAAGGACACAGACACTCCGAAAATTAAGAATCTGTAGCTCCCTGAATCCCCCTCTGCCCCACTTTCCCAAAATGCAGCCATCCTCTGGCCTTAAGCCCACTCCGTCATCACAGGGCTTCCTGATTCCGAAGGCCAAGGTCACCAGAATTTGGACCACAAAATACTAGCATTCCCAACTTCACACCCAAGACACATCTAACCTGCATCCAAGATTACTTGTGGCCCCTTCCCACCCAGATCCTCACTTGCTTGTGGAGCATCTTCTTCTTCCTCCCTCCGAAGCCATGCCTGACAAACATCCACCAGCAGGGCCAATCTTGCCACAAGCCCCCCAACTACCAACCAAACCCCCCACTCTGCCCCTCCCTGCAGAGCTCGCCCCCTGGAGTTTTACCCCCACCACTACAGCCCCTTTTTCTATCCTCATCTCATGGTGCTACTTGGATGATCTCAACTACACTATTCAACATTCAGTCACCTATATGTACACACCTGCTCTGTCCGGGACACTGACAGGGAGGGAGGAAACGATGGAATTTTTGTAGACAACATTTTTTTTTTTTTAAGATTTTATTTATTTATTTGAGACAGAGAGAATGAGAGACAGAGAGCATGAGAGGGAGGAGGGTCAGAGGGAGAAGCAGACTCCCTGCCGAGCAGGGAGCACGATGCGGGACTCGATCCAGGGACTCCAGGATCATGACCTGAGCCGAAGGCAGTCGCTTAACCAACTGAGCCACCCAGGCGCCCCTTGTAGACAACATTTAAGGACAGTGTTTTGTTTTTTAATAGCAGCTTCACTGACACAAACTTCGCATACAATAAAAACCACACTTTTTAACATTTTTCATATACTCACAGTTGTGAAACCATTACTACAATTTAATTTTAGAACTTTTCATTGCCCCAAAAGAAGTCTCATACCTATTAGCATCTAGAGTAGTGTTTTTGTGGGAAAAAAAATTTTTTTTTTTAGTTTCAGACTTGCAAACTTTTAGAACATTTAAAGTGATAAGGCGCTCATGTTATCCAAACACTGTATAGTATGTGATCTAGATTAATACAGTTAATAATTACCCACTGTTGGGGCCATGCAGTTTAAAGGACAGAGGTAAAGTTTTCCCTTGGGGGAAAAATTCAGCACAACTATTAAGATAACAAGCAACAATAAAGAGCAGTTTGTATCTGGAAAGCGCCTCATGGCTTTTAAATGCACTCAAATACAATGGTTTTTTTCTAAGCCTCTAGACAGGCATACAGAGCATTTACAAGAAGGAGCCTGAAGTTCAGGGACACGTGCCTGACCCACCCAGTCACCTAGGCGGGTCCCCCAGCCCAGCTCTTCTGACCCTCCGTCTTTTTCCTGGACCCGCACTTTCTCACTATTCCGTCACGGGAGAAGTACACAAGCAGCTCGATGAGAAGGCTGTGTGTTACCATTAAGCAATTCCAATTTCATATCTGAATGGAAAAAGAAAAGAAAAGAAGCCTATTTATGTTCTCCGCACAACAAAACATGCCTTTGTTTTACGCAAAGGCCCTGGAGATTTTGTCAGCACTGGTCCAGCTGTGACACACGGACACTGATTCAAAGGCCTGGGTAAATGTTCTTTGTTTAGTGGAGAGAACGTGAGCCCTCTCTAAACCCAAATCCTAGGTTCCCCTGAGGTCACCCTCAGAGTTGGTAATGGAACCTGACTGACAAGAAGTACCTGTGCCTTGCTCAACGGTTGCGAAGACAGGTTAGAGTTAGAATATTTTAATTAAAATGAGGTAAATTCTAATTACTTAACAGCTGTCTCCAGAATAACATCGTTTCTTATTCACCAAGCGCTTATTATAGCCTGAACCATTGGGAACACCCGGCTCCACCTTGTTAACCAGAGAAAACAGCTCACCTTTTCCGGGAACATTAACTCTTTTTTTCAGAAAATAAGGTAGTATTCAGTGGGTTTACTCATTAGTCACTAAGCCTTTAATGGCCTTGAAGGGATTAACGAATTCTGAAAAGTAATCTATTGTGGGTAACGATGGTGAAGGTTCCCCCTATAGTTACAGAAAACCACCTCAGTGCAGGACACAGAACATTGATGCTCAGTTAGATAACACACACACACACACACACACACACTTCCCCACAGGTACTCTATTTTTATATGCACTGGTTACATATGGTAACAAATTTTATACGACATAAATAAAATGGTTAGTGCTCCGTACTCAAAGAAATTAAACATTTCTGGGGCGCCTGGGTGGCTCAGTTGGTTAAGCAACTGCCTTCGGCTCAGGTCATGATCCTGGAGTCCCTGGATCGAGTCCCGCATGGGGCTCCCTGCTCAGCAGGGAGTCTGCTTCTCCCTCTGACCCTCCCCCCTCTCATGTGCTCTCTCTCTCATTCTCTCTGTCAAATAAAATAAATAAAATCTTTAAAAAAAAAAAAAAGAAATTAAACCATTTCTATCATCCGCCATTCTTCCTCAAAAATAGAAAAAAGTTGGAGGGGTCAACACTATCAAACCAACTAGTGAAATTTCCTCAAATTTAACCTTAAAATCCAGTATTCATTACAGGTTCTCTCATCCTGGCAGGAAGAATAAACCAATAAAGAGATTAACAGCAGTCCACAGCATTATAAGGTGCCGATGAACCACACCACCTCACCTCAATGTGAGCAACACCTGGACCATTTCCTTCAAACACAAACCCCACCTCTCCAACAAATCTGACTCTGCTTCCCACTAGCAATAACCTCTGAACTCTCATATTTATAACTCATACCTCTGTACGCATTTTGCCTTCCACCTGGGATCATACATACAAAATATAACTCCTACTAGACTAAGCTGTTTGAAGGTTAATTCCACATCACATTCAATCTCATGGAATTCACACCACATCAACATCAACTTCACCTCCCAGATATCACTCCTCATTGCCTAAGTTCCAGGTACAGAGGCTCTGCACCTTTTCCACACACACATTACACACCAGGTCATCTCTATGGTGACCCACAAGATGGCCTCCAAGACGGCTTCACTGATTGCTGGAAGTCACACACCTGTACCCGGGACAATCTGTACGACCAATAAAATACAGCTCTTGGGTTCTCTCTCTGTAGGATCGATGAAAATTAGGTCATTGGCAGCCTTATGGAAAGGCCCATGGAGTAAGAAACTGATACCTCCTGCCAAAGACTACCCAAGTCAAGCTTTGAGATGACTAACGCTCCAGCCAACGGCTTTACTGCAAACCCATGAGAGACCCTGAGCCAGAACTATGTAGCTAGCCAGTCTCAGATTCCTGGCCTTCAGAAACTGTGTAAGGTAACAAATGTTTGGTTTTTTTTTTTAAGCTGCTAAGTTTTAGGATAATATGTTAGGCAACAAAAAAATATATATGAATTTGTTACCATATGTAAGGCAATCTCCATATCACCTTTATCTAGAATATTCTTTCCTAAGCTGACCTATCAAAATTCTAAAGCTTGAGATCCAGTGGGGCTTATCTTTTGTGAAAATGCTTTGGATTCTCCCTCACCAGAATTACTTACTCCTTTCCCTTAATTCAAATTGTGTGAGTCACTTTAACAATGAGGTCAGTCCGTCTTATGGTACAGTGAAGGCTCAGAGGCCTGCATCCCAGACAAGCCATTAGCTCCCCAAGGCACAGATTAGGTCTCCATCTTCTCATTAACACCAGTCTGGCCTAGTCAAATCAAGGATTCTCAGCCATCCCACATCTGTGTACAGAAAAAACTAGGGAGTGATATTACTGGCCATTAGTTAGGGTTGGGCTGATCCCCAGTAATAAAAACTTGATTAACTGTGGAGAGGGCCTGCTGTAGTCAGGGACCACGTTTGGAAAATGGGGAGAGTCAGAGAAAGAGGAAAAAGGAAAAAAAAAACAAAAAACAAAAAACAGACTGGTCCCGGGCAGAACTTTCCCTACCCCTACACTTTCTCTTATAACCCCTCCAGAAGAGAATGGAGGAGGAGGAATCATTGACGGAATTGATGGAAACATGCGTTCACACATTCACAGAGGAAATGAGATAAAGCAGGTGGTTCAGGAGTCAACTGAACACCACCCCCCAAGTCAGCTGCAATGACTCCCAGCAGCTGATGGCAGTGGTCACAGAGCACAAACTGATCTGGATTGTATCTTGATTCCACATTTAGGAACCATAAGACCAAGGAACGAAGCATCCACTTCTTGGGCCTTCACATTTCCCACCTGCAAATTACTGTAACTTACTAAGGCAGCTTTTGAAAGGACTAAATGAGACAATGTACAAGTTCATGTGAAACATCTAGAAGGCTGCTTGGTATCTCATTCCCTTCTCTTCCCCTCACCGGAGCCAGCCTTCAGGAGCTGTGCCCCAAATAGGAGGGTCTAAACCCTAACACGAGGACCCAAAGTCAAGTCATCTCTATTTGCCTTTGTTGCTATAATTCCCAAAAGAGGCTCTAGGTGGGGCACCTGGGTGGCTCAGTCAGTTAAGCAGCCAACTCTAGCTTTCAGCAGGTCATGATCTCGGGATCCTGGGATCCAGGCCCACATCAGGCTCCACACTCAAGAGGGGAATCTGCCTGAGGATTCTACCCATCCCCCCACCAGCTCCATCTGCCCCTTCCCCTGCTCACACTCTCTCTCTAAAATAAATAAATAAATCTTAAAAAAAAAAAAAAAGAGGCTCTAGGGTTGGAAAGACAACCTTCAAATTCACTTATATACCATATACAGCTCCAATTTAAGAGTTTGGTTACTTTGGGGACTCCTGGGTGGCTCAGTTGGTTAAGTGTCTGCCCTCAGCTCAGGTCATGATCTCAGGGTCCTAGGACTGAGCCCCACATCAGGCTCCCTGCTCGGCGGGGAGTCTGCTTCTCCCTCTGCCTCTTCCCCCTGGCTTGTTCTCTCAAATAAATGAATAAAGTCTTAAAAAAAAAAAAAAAAAGGTTTGGTTATTTCTGGAACACACATCCCCCCCTTTGAACTCATTAAAACTTAGCAACAGGCCACCCATAAGCACAGTCCAGACTAATTCTTTTTTTTTTTTTAAAGATTTTATTTATTTATTTGACAGAGAGAGACACAGTGAGAGAGGGAACACAAGCAGGGGGAGTGGGAGAGGGAGAAGCAGGCCTCCCGCCGAGCAGGGAGCCTGATGTGGGGCTCGATCCCAGGACCCTGGGATCATGACCTGAGCCGAAGGCAGGCGCTTAACGACTGAGCCACCCAGGTGCCCCCAGGCTAATTCTTTTTTTTCAGCTTCATAGTTAGCAATGTCTGCCACATTAAAAACAACCAACTGATCAATCAACCAAAAATTATCATTTCTAGAATTTACAGGTATCACAAAAACCTACGCTAGGGACTAAGAGTATATAAAGATTAATAAACCTACTGAAGATTGGATAGTTCCACTTTCAACATGAAGTACACGTGTTAAATGTTTATTAAGATTCTAATACATTCCACCGTATTAAGCACCAGAGCAGACAAAAAAACAAAACACTTTTCAAAAAAATGTTATTTATGCTCTCATTCATGAAACATACATATTAAATTTTTAAACAATCATAAAAGTCACAGTTTATTTGCAGACTACTCTGTAAGGTGAATTCCATGGAAAAGACTCCAATATTTAAGTTATATATAACAAATTCTGTAATTAGCTTTAAAGAAACAAGTTCAAGGAACGGTCAGAACCAACCAGGTCATTTATGTTTCTTCAAATGAAAATAATCCTTGTCAGGCAAACGTTTTGTGTAGTATTTTGTCCTTTTCTCTATTATGAAGAATATCATGATAACAATACAAATAATTAGTAACTAAATTACATCCTAATTTTACCAACATACAAGGTTAGGATTCTGCAACATGGAAGCCAAATTCCAAGTAAAATAAGGACTTTAAAAAATACTGAACAGTAAAAAACAGCAGACATTTTACAATATGGGAAACCATAAAGAAACTGATCAATACTCATCAGAACCAACAGGGCTCTTCAAGCTCACTGAGGTTCACTGACCCTCCACTCCTGCTCCCCTTCCTGAAAGGTCTACAGTGTCCTTGTCACACAGCTGAGACCAGCACGAGCTTTTCCATAGCAACTGCAGCAAGCCCCTTAGCACTAGCAAAAGCCTCAGATGCCTCCCCTTATATTAAATATTTATTAGGTTTCAAGATAGTGGTCTTGGGGGGAAGTTTACAGGATGCACACATGGTTTAGAGCCTATTGCCCTTTCTTCAAAATACCTTTTCTATCAGGTTCACTGAAATAAACCCACAACTGGTTCCTTGAGGCTGTGGAACTGCCTTCCACATGGTGTTCAGTGCCCGTTTTAATCAAACCGAAGGGTTTTCAATTTTTTTAGGTCATCTAAATCCCTTCAGCATCTCATCCAGTAAGTCGTAACAGAAAAAAAAAATCTAATAAAGCACTATTATCTATTTAAAACCTAATAAGCCCCTTAGATCTTGGTTGTTTGGAAAGAATTAACACCGTAATGACTTACTCTGTGGGTTACTTTTTAATTTGTTTCCACACATCACATGAGGTTCCAAAGGTACAACTGTCTTAGGCTCTGCTGAAGTTCTCCTGGAGGAGGAGGACGAGGTTCACTCTATTCTGGGGGAGCCCTGCTGTTAAAATCAGCACAAATGTTGTCATCATTTATTGGGTATTTTCACATCCCAGAACAGAAAAGCACAAAAGTAAGTAATAGGTAACTCGGGTGTCCTCACAACAGAGTTTCTTGGCTTTAAAAGGAGATGCTCCCAAGAAGCTCAGAGATACAACAGCAACCTTGTTTAAGCACAGCTTGTAGCCAAAAGTGACCGATCTAAGTAGATCTGGACGGCAAGTGATCTCTGAGCACACATGGCAGTTGTCATCACACACAAATCTGAACACATTTTCAACGCAAAGCAGTTTGCAAAGTATAGACGAAGCAGGACTCTCCAGGAGCTGCTGAAACGCAAGAACTCCTTCCTCTGCTTCTTTTATCTAGAACCTTGCTCAATGCCTGGCACCCAGCACGTGCTCAAAGACTGAGGACAAGGGACCAAGGATCCTAAGAATTTTTCTCCTTCAGGAGAGCTGCCCAGTAGAGGACCACCCCCACGTCCAGCAGTCACTTTGGGGAGCACCAGCAGCAGCATGGGAAACTAGGAAAACCTCACGCACGCATCACATTTTTTTTTTTTTTTTTTTTTTTTTTTTTTTTTTTTTTTAAATATTTTACTTATTTATTTGAAAGAGAGAGACAGAACACAACCAGGGGGAGAGGGAGAAACAGGCTTCCCACCGAGCAGAGAGCCCGACATGGGGCTCGATCCCAGGACCCCGGGACCATGGCCCGAGCCGAAGGCAGACACCCAACCATCTGAGCCACCCAGGCGCCCCAACATCACATTTTTTTACTCAAGAAATGGCAGGTCCCTCTCTCTCTCTCTCTATATATATATACACTAGGATCACTCCAGACTAATCAGTATTTTCAATTGCCAGAGACAAAGGAGAAAAAAAAAATTTTTTTTGAAACTGAACTTAAAAGTAAATGTCCTTTACTCTCAGATTATGTCCTCCCTGATTTGAGAGGGGGTGTTAAAAATCGCATATTTATAAAGAAGATGGTGGGGCTTTATGTTGGTTGATTTTAACGATTTGGCAGAACAAGGAACTGACAACTCAGCGTGAGCTCCCCACCCCTAATTTTAATTTTACCCATCAAACGTATTAGCAATGGTAGTGCTGAGATGTAACACCCACTTACCCTGCCACCACCTAACTATGACTGCAGCCCCACATGACACCTGCCAGACTCACGCAACACATATCACTGCCCAGGGCAAAACAGGAAAAGAGGAATAACTGGTTTAGAAAGTGGAGGACGCAAGAAATGCTACATTTGGTTATCAATATGTAGAGTCTGACAGGAGGGAAGAACATCCAGAATGGAGAAGTCTAACAACGACTTCACATAAAAAGACACCTTTGGACTTATATCCTCTAGAAACTTGACATAAGTGAGCCATTGTTACTGAGGGCAATTCTCATCCATCGAGTGTACTGAGAGCGGAAAAAACAGTTAAGTATCAGTTTTAGGAAGTCTACAAAAAATGAAAAAAGACTGGCCAGCAGCCCAAAGCCCATTTCAGGCTGAATTTCCAAAGAACCCAATCAGCACATTTTTACAACTTTCCTAGCAACTCTGGTTTAGGCCCAGCTTAGGAGGATAATAAAACAAATTACTCAGGGCTAGGTGTTAATGTGGTGAACATCATAAAGAGTCAGGGTGACATTACCAATCAGAACAAAACTAAAATAAAATATATACATGCTCAGCAATTTCACTTCTCCATATTACCCTAGGCCAACATGCTTGCCTAAAGGAGGAATAAACAAAGATATTCAGTGCAGCATTTATTTATAACAGTTTTTAAAAATACTGTAAAGAACCGGGCGCCTGGGTGGCTCAGTTGGGTAAGCGACTGCCTTCGGCTCAGGTCATGATCCCGGAGTCCCTGGATCGAGTCCCGCATCGGGCTCCCTGCTCGGCAGGGAGTCTGCTTCTCCCTCTGACCCTCCCCCCTCTCATGTACTCTCTCTCATTCTCTCTCTCACAAATAAATAAATAAAATCTTTAAAAAAAAAAAAATACTGTAAAGAACCAAAATGCCCATTAACAGAATTTAAATTAAAGCATATTTATACTACTCTGAAACACTGTGCAGCAGTTAAAAAGAATGAAATGATCATGGGGTGCCTGGGTGGCTCAGTCGGTTAAGCGTCCAACTCTTGATTTCAGCTCAGGTCATGATCCCAGAATCGTGAGATTGAGCCCCACATAGGGCTCTGCACTGAGCTGAGCATGGAACCTGCTTAAGATTCTCTCTCGCCCTCTCCCTCTGCCCTGTCCTCCTCCCCAACTCTCTCTTAAAAAAAAAAAAATTACTATTTGAAAGCTCTCCTAAGACAGCCAGATGAAAAATACAGAAGTGCATATAGTATGAGAGTATTTGCCTTTTTGAAAGTCACACAATAGGCAAAAATCAATTCTAGGAGTGCTCCCAATGTGTGGTCCCAGAACCAGAGCATTGACATCACCTGGGAACTTGCTAAAAATGCAAATTCTCAGGCCCCACCCCAGACCACTGAATCAGCAATCTGCATAAAGCAGTATGTTTGAACAAGTCCTTGGATGCAAGCAAAAGCTTGAGAACTGCTGGTCTACACAGACCTGTATTCAGGTCCCTAAAAAAAGGACAGGACTGTCACCAACTGAGGTCTCTGAGCAAATATCTTTATCTATATTCTCTCACTCTCCTCCCTGCCTTTTTTTGACAAGGAGAGTGTATTCAGGCATCACTCTCATAAATTAAAAGTAACTTTTTTTAGATACTACAGATATTAGGAGGGGACTAGAGGAATGGTTAGCCATGCAATTACGGTAGAGGAAAAGCTGATGGAATAGGAGAATGGAGGTTCCCTGTGAGCTACTGAAAGGTTGGAGGTCACAAAAATCATGAAAAACAAGCCAAGTAGGAATTTTACTTCAGAACTCTCACTAGTGTCTCAGTGAGTTCAGCTGATCTCAGAGCGTGCGCAACAGTCAACTCCTGTACGCTGGACAGCCACCTACCAAAGAATAAAAAAAGAATAATGCAGACATTGTTTTGGAAAAGCTAAAGTGTCACAAAGTCTTTTGTTGTCCTGTTTTGTTGATTCCTTAGCCCTACACACTGCAGGGGCCAATGCTGCTCCCAGCCGACACTGTCATCTTGTATTTGCTGGGGCTGTTTGCCTGGACAGCAGGGAAAAGGAGACAGAAAAGAGGGCTTTGAAATCTAAGTAACAAATGTTAGGGACAAATGATAGTAGCCACTATCCCTCGAAGCCTTGACATCTCCTTTCCAGGTTGCGGGGCCTAGAAATGCATAAACTCTCTCTCTCTCTCTCTCTCTCACACATACACACACACACACCTGTATTTTATTTCTCATTAACTTCACAGAAGTAAAATCAACCATTACTGCCAATATTTATGAACATAAACGCACAAAGGTAGTCTGGAATCCACTTTAAAATAAGGTAATGGAAACCTGTAATATAAAAATAGGATCAGCTATACTTAATTTTCAGCTGAGAGATGTCAGTAAGAGATAACCTTTTAATCTCCCTATTATTGCTACAAGTCATGTTCCAAACTAGGAATAAAAATATGTGGTATTTTATAAAGAATTATGAATTTTCCACTTCTAAATTTTTTAAGTGAGAATACAGCTGATCTGATGTCAAAAATGCAGGCCTCACCCTTGACACACATCCTAGAACAGCTTAAAAAGCCAACATCTAAAACAGCCTAGATATCCTTACCTTAACTTTGCGATAAGAGATCAAGAAGAAGTTTCACTCTCTATAGCAAGTACTCTTCAGTTTCACTGAAGAGAAAAAGCAAAATAAGAGTACATTCTCACTCCTGGGTTTTGGGAACATCAGCTTCTTCAGTTTCAAGCTTTATTCTCTTGGATATTGCGAGATCATCACAACCCACTTGTTCTTTGACACAAGCAGAACCCCATGCTCAAAGTGACTGCAGGCCTACAAAGAAACAGCTGTGTGCCATTCAATTATCTGGGCCATGCTTCTCCATGGTACAGAGAAAAATCATCCCTTTTTAGCCTGAAAGCAAGCACAGTTTTCCTTCTCATCTCCCACCATTCAGCCAATTTTTCTTCCTTTAACAAGACCAAATTTTTAGCTACATCCATTTAGAAGCTTGTGTCCTTTACCTAGAGAAGATGAAACAAAAAGTTATAGCCTCATATAACAGAAATATCCAGTTTTTTAAAAAGAAAAGATTTAGCACTACATCAAAAGTAATAAAGAAAAACATGATTTACCTCTAAAGAGAACAGATTTAAAACTTGAGAAAAAGACCACAGTGTAAGGTGTAAGTTATATGAAGAGATCATTTTGTAACATGCCCCCACTGTAACAGATCTATTCCTAAATGAGTTAGGAAGCCAGTTAAAAGCCAGACGGGGTAGAATGGCCTTCAAGGCCTGAGCACTGACCGATAAGCAGCCTGCAATATAAACAAGAGCCCTGCACCTCTCTGTTACTTTAACAGAATGCTGCAACCCTGGGAGGCCTCTCCCTTCCTGGGGCACCTTCTAGAACAGACATTCCTGAATACTCAGGAACCTGCCTCTACCTCCCCCACTGCTGCACACCTCAGAAGCAGGTCAATCCTGAACATGTTTTTCCTTCCCCACTCCCCGCTCCAGCTCCATCCGGAGATGAGGGGCCAGCCTTGACCTTGGGGGGGGAGGAGGGCGGGAGGACCAGGCCAGCCTGCAACAGTGACTGACAGAATCACGCGGGCGGAAGCCAACCGCCCCTGGGCTGCCATGAAGCCACCGAAGGCAGCTGCAGCTCCCGGTCAAGGTCCGAAATGCTCCCTTCCTCAACACCCACACCCCCCCAACACCAACTGCATTTAATATCCAAAACTGTGACTGGCAAATCCAGCTTTAAAGAAGATCTCTTCTGTGAAAGAAGTCAGGCACAAGCAGGTCTCGGGTTCCCTTTGAACAGAGGAAACTTGATATCCTGAAGGCCTGCCAAAGAAAGCAGCCTGTGTTTCGAGTCCATGCTTGTGATTAAGAACCTGAATAGTGACTGGACAGGGTGTGTGCAGGGGAGAGGGGGGAGGGCAAGCGGACAAATGTTAGTGAATACAGGAAATGAGGTCTGTACTTAGGTTTTTACTTTCATTAAAATGTGCTTATGTTTCCCGTAGTATATGTGTCCCTTAATTAACAGGTATTTTCAAAGAAAGGATGATGCTGGGACACAGACAAATCAATGTGGGAGAAGGGTGCTGAAGATGACAGGGATCTCTAGGCCTTTTTACTTAAAAGAAATGTTTTACTGCTTTGCTTTTACACATTTTCACCTACTAAGATGATGTTTAATTTATGGGGGAAAAAATGGTGAAGAATTACTACAAAGCACAAGAAAAGACCAAACACACTAAGTACAGCTGCTTGAACCTCAAGATGCCAGGTCACAGAAGGAAGTGAATGACAGCCGTAGCTGCTTCCCAATAAGCCCCAGGGGGGCTGCCCACTGGCTTCTGCTGGAAGGGAAAAACTAATTCCTCAAAAGGTGTTCCAGCTTCCCCAGGCAGGCCAGACAGGGGTGAGGGGAGTGCTTCGTTTCCAGCACTTCCACATCCCAGCGTGGCCTTCTCCCCAGAACAGCAATCGCCAAGACTGTAACTACAGACCCAAAAGCTCTGCTGGACTGGCATCCAAACATTTCACTCACCCGTGGTGAGCACAAAGATTCGCAGGCAAAATTCCATACGTTGAAATCCTGGTATTATTAAATAAATCTGCATTTTAGCAAAGGTATGTCTGTAACAAATCCATTTAAGATAAGGTCTCTCCGGGCACCTGGGTGGCTCAGTGGGTTAGGCGTCCGACTCTTGGTTTCGGCTCAGGTCATGGTCTCAGGGTCCTGGGATGGAGGCCTGGATCGGGCTCCCCACTCAGCGAGGAGTCTGCTTGAGATGCTCTCTCCCCTTCTCCCCTCCCGGGAGTGCACACTCTCTCTAAGTAAATAAATTAATTAAAGTAAAATAAAATAAGGTCTTTCTACATGATTGAGAGGTGGTAAAATACTGTAAACTATAGGATATTGGGTAGTTCTTTAAGCCCCCCACACTTCACACTCCCTCACTGGTTAAGATGGGAAAGGAAGAGTACATCTGAGCAGAGCTAAAGGGAGGCTCAAATAAGGCATTTGCTGCCCTGACTTGCTTGGCTGGGGCCAGGACCAGGGGTGCACTGAATAGATTGTGAGCATCACTGCCAAATAAAATTCCTCCTTCCCACTCGATACAGGTTGAAAAGAACTAAGAATTTCAAATTCTTCCAAAGCTAAAAGGCCCAAACCATCCGCATCTCACCTTCTGCATGCTTCCAATCACCTTTCTGACCTCTAAAGAAAAGGGCAGAACTACCACATTCTCTGTGGCGGGGCGCACCGTGAAGGGCCCAGTAACATTTTTCTTTTGTTCAGCATAGAAAATACAGATGTGAGGTAGTGGTATTAATGGGAAAATGAACACACATTAAAAACTCCCCAATGGGGCACCTGGGGGGCTTAGTCGATTGAGTATCCCGGCTCCTGATCTCAGCTCAGGTCTTGATCTCAGGGTCATGAGTTCAAGTCCCACACTGGGCTCCACGCTGGGTATGGAGCCTACTTAAAAAATTTCCCCAAACTGCCTTTTATTGCCAAAAGCAAAAGAGTGACTGGGTGAACAGGACCCGGGGTCAAGAGAAGCAGGAGAGTTCTCAGAGTGCCTGGGGGCTCCTGTTACAGTGCCACGTGGGCAAACGTGGGTGAAAGCCCCCGGGAGCCCAGATGGGAGGGGCCACCCACCCCACAGCCTCTTCCTCAGCTCAGGGAGCTGGAGCACTTGCTGGTAGCCAACATGTCTCATGTTTGGTGGCCAGTCCAAGGTGGAAGTGACAATGTGACAAATGCCCATACCCTGGAATGGCACAGGATTAGAACCGCAAATGAACAACCACTTCCCTCAATTCCTTTAATTGATAAAGAAAAATCAAAAGTTCCTCTTCATCTTCCAGTAAATTTTAAAAATTATGCAGCCTCTAAGTGTTTCTGCTTTGCCGAGCATCCATACAGAGACCCAAAGAGTTAAAAAGTGTGAGTTTTGAAAATGCCCAATTAATGATTTGAAATTTTTTCTAAGCTTTGAATCATTACACATGCCAAAAAGAGAGAAAGACCTATAAGTTAACGTCACAAAAGCAATGAAATTAATTAATAATAAATGAACAAACTAGGAAATCTGTTTCTCGGGGGTTTTTTATTTCCACAGGAAAAAAGCTAACACTAATAGGAAACATAAAATATCTTGAATAAATCCCTTAAGTAAAAGCAAAATAAAAAGAACAAGAACAAAAAAATTCTTGAGTTCCATTTTATGGCCCTAAATAGGGAAAGATAAAAAGAGAAGACGAAAATGGAAATTCGGTGGAGAAGAAAGACAGGAAAGGAGAGAAAAGCTAAAGGGCGGGGGAAGAGCAAAGCTGGATGACAGACCCACAGAAAAATGCAGCATGCCAAGAGAAAACTGAGAGGAGCTGAAAGACAGATGTGTGATTTGAGGTTTACGCTTCACTTTGGATTTTAGGGAATTATCAAAGTTATCCAGTGCACTTTGAAAAGTTGGTTGTTTCAGCAGAGTTCACTGCTTTTCAAACTTAACAGCTACAGTTGCCATTATAAATAGAATAATCAGACTAGGAAAACGTCATCAGACCAACTGCAGTGACCAAAGCCCCAGCCAGAGGCAAACCAGCAAAACAGCAAGAGTCCCAGGGCTGGAGTCCCTTCTGGAGGTTAAAAAGAGGAAATTTGAGAACGGATTATAATTCTGGGAAAAATAAAAGCCCCTAAACCAAGAGAAACCTGTTATGTTATCTTTACTATTAGTCCAAATTTTCATTTAATCCCTGAAGCAATGAGCAATCCATTTAAAAATCACCGGAAGAACCGATTGAAAGGTATGGTTTCCCTTCCAACAACGATCCGAGAGAAATAACTGATGGACTCCAGTTTGGGACCTGCCACTCTGGACTGAAAATCGTTTCTTAAGAGAACCTGGGTGAGAATATTTGACAAATCCAGACATGCTGCACACATGAATCCCATAGCTGAGACACAAACTTCAGGTTTGTGAGCACTCACAACTTCAGGTTTGCCCTGAGAAATCACCAGTTTAAAAAAAATCATCATCATCATCATCATCAGGATTTGGCTCAAATGTAACCTCCAGGCAAAATTGCTTCTCTGGCTCTCAAACCACCCAGAGAATGTGTAATACTACACTTTCATTTTGCAAATATTTAGTAAGTACTTCTTCTCTGCAAGGCTGTTACCATTAAAGTGAATTATTGCTCACAGACTTGAGCTCCTTGAAGGTCAAACTCTAGGATATGACTATTAAAATACACTTTGCATTAAAAGCATCTTAACTAAAACCAGTGATATACAGAGTAACAGCTAAGCCAGTTACTCTCCCCCGCCTCTGGTTTCTTCCCTCATTTTACAAATGCGCACAAAGGTCAAGCTACCACCCCCTCTGTGCTCAAAAACAAAAACCAACACTCAATACAGGCAAGCAAAGCCCACCCCACCCCAACCCACGGAGCCTGAATCTCTCAGCATTACCGACCATGGGTAGTCAAGCACAGGCCAATATCTACTCTTTCCGCCCAATCCCCTTGGCCTCTCCACAGACCTTGAAAGTTGAACTCCCTGTGGCTTAACTCACCTTCCTCTCCCAGCCCTGAAATGTTCAACATCCAAGTTCTGCTCTCCTTTTACTCCACATTTTTTTCCTGGACCATCTCAGCAACTTAATAGCTTCCAATATCACATGTCTCCCAAACCTCGATATCCTGCCCCACTCCTTCTCTTAGAGATCCGTATTTCACTCCCAAACCTACCCACATAAACGTCCCAGGAGAACTGGGTAGTGGTTTTAAAACACGTGCACACAGTCACGGACACTCTTCCCACCAAAAGTGGAGTCTCACCTCCCTCTCCTTGAATATGTGCTGGCCTTCGAGGCACATTTCTAACAGAATGTGGAGGAGGTGATGCCCGAGGCTAAGTCATAAAAAGCCACACAGCTTCTGCCTGCCTCTCTCTTAGGAGTCACACCTTGGGAGCCCGTAGGCAACACGTAAGAAGGCAGGGTCTACGGCACAGCCTCTGGCGAAAAGCAATACTCAACGTAGGCAAGCAAATAACGATCAAACAGGGTTTTTTTTTTTTCTGGAGACCATGCAGATAGAGACGGATGTCGAGAAGCCCCTACTGCTTGGGTCTTCCCAGTACAACTGCCCCTCAAGGGAGTGAGTAAGCCTTCAGATGATCCCCGCCTCATACTTCAAGCCGCCCTGGCTGAGGCTGAGCAGAGACAAGCTGTCCCCACCAAGCCCTGCCCAAATGACAGATCTATGACCATAATAAAGGCTGTTATTTTAAACCACTAGGTTGAGTTTTTTTTTAAGGTTTTTGTTTGTTTGTTTGTTTTTTAAAGATTTTATTTATTTATTTGACAGAGAGAGACATAGTGAGAGAGGGAACACAAGCAGGGGGAGTAGGAGAGGGAGAAGCAGGCTTCCCCGCGGAGCAGGGAGCCCAATGAGGGGGCTCGATCCCAGGACCCCGGGCTCATGACCTGAGCCGAAAGCAAACGTTCAGCTGACTGAGCCACACAGGCACCCCTAAACCACTAGGTTTTAACATGATTTGTTATACAGCTCTGGACAACTGGAAAGACCTCAAATGTGACATACCCCAAACTAAATTCATTATCTCCCTCCCTCATCTGGTCTTCTTTCTAGATTTTCTATCCCAGTTCCTTTTCCATGCAATCTGAAAGTCCTTCTCTACTGTTCTCTACCCTCAGATCCCCCCCACCCCTGACATCTGACACACTGTAACCCAGTGGTCTCTCAGGAACCCAGCACCCCACCTCTGGTGTGAAAATTAATAAAGGGAAACCTCACTAAAATGGGAGTTGGGAGGGTTGGGGGCAGGGGGAACTCTCTTGCGCTACCACTCTCGTAGTTAATTGCAGACCCAACAGGAAGAGACAGGACCTTGCACACAGATACTACTTTACTATTCCAGCAGGAAGAAGGAAGGCTTCCTCCTGCCCCAACAGCCCAGCCAATGAGAGACAGGCCCAGCTCAACCAATGAAAAGCCACTATAACTTAGAACTCCCAGTTTAGGGGCACATAGGTGGCTCAGTCTGTTGAGCATCGGACTCTTGGCTTCAGCTCAGGTCATGATCTCAGGGTGGTAGGATGGAGCCTGGTACAGGACTCTGTGCTCAGGGCAGAGGCTGTTTGAGATTCTTTCCCCTCCCTCTCCCTCTGCTTCTCCCCCTGCTCCCGCGCATGCTCTCTCTCTCTCTCTCTCTCTCTCTAAAATAAATAAATAAAATCTTAAAAAAAAGGAACTTCCAGTTTACTCCAATAGACTTTTTGTTTATGACAGTCTTCCCAGCTTCCCACTTTCTTCTACAAGAGTATTCTTCTTCTTTGTTTGGTGGACTTGCCTGGGGTTTTGCCATAGTTTGCCTGTCCTGGATTGCAATTCTCTGTTATTCCCAAATAAACCCATCTTTTGCTGGTAAAATAACTGGTAGTCTTATTTCTTAAGGTTAACACTGGCTAGGAATACAGTGACACCCTTCACCTGGTTTGCTAGTACCTTCTATTCAACTGCCAAAATAATATTCTAAAACTGAACTCCCGCACACCTAACCACCAACTAATTGCCTACAGAATACAGTCCTGACTCCTGATCCTGACACACAAGACTGTTCACACCACCGCCCCTCCCCCACCTGGGTGACTACCCGAGACTCTGGATCCAGGGACTTCTGAGGATTCACAAACACCTTTTTGCCCTTTCATGCCACAGCACCTTTGCACATGTTGACTCTCCTCCGTAAATTCCCTTCTTCATCCTTCTTTCTCTCCCTGCTTACAAAGAATCCTGCTTAGCCTTCAAGTCCAAGTTCAAAGGTTATGTACTTTGAGAATCTTTTCTGATGACCCAACCGGACTTGCTCACTTCCTCCGCCATCAGTTATGCAAGCCCTTACAACACCCATTTCACTACAGTGACCTAGTCTCTGTTCCTCCGGTCTGGCCTGTGAGCCTGAGGGCAGGCATCCTATCAGGTTTGCCCCCAAATAAATTAAATGTTTAATTTGAACTGGAAACCACTAAGTGAGCCTTTTACAGAAATATCTAATATTCAGTTTCAGAATCAATACTATTCAGCACCTGAGCTGGTCACAGATTTTAACTTAATTTTCTAAGATATCTGGAGTATTATCAGCCTCCAGGAGATGTAGTGACCTATCCAGTGTCTCATAACCAGAAAATGATGAAGCCAAATTTTGAACCCAGATATAACTTCAAGTCCAGCACTCTTTGCCCTAAACATTTACAATCAGTGCTTCGGCACAAGGACAGACACACGGCCATATTCTGGCAAAGATACACCCTTTAGCGCCCCACTCCCATGGCAGCTCCCAGAGCACACTGCTCTTTTGAACCACCCCTTTGAAAGAAAAAAGGAGACTGCATATAACTTTTAGGTAGTATAGTATGTTGTGTAAGGACATGTATTCTGTAGCCAAATATCCCAAATTTAAGACCAAGATGTGTCTGTATCAAAGCTCTGTGCCCCTGGAGAATTTATTCTTCTATCCCTTTACACCTTGTTTCTTCATGTGTAAAGCAGGGATATTAAGAGCACTGCTCATGGGTTTCTTGTGAAGGTATTAGAAAAATGAAACACGAAAAGCATTTAGAACATAACCTGGCACATGAAATACACTCAGCAAACCCTGTCGCTGGTATTAGGAGGAGTAGGAGGAGTATTTCTTAACAGTGACCCAGTAAAAACCCCAGCTGGAAAACTTAGGTAATTATAATGCAGGGCTGAAGCTGTGTCCCTTCAGATTCCAATTTTAATTAGTTGGGGAAAAAAAAAAAAAAACATTTTTAAGAAGTATGAAGTATCCCCAGGGCTTTAAACTGGTTAACAAATGTAGCTTCAATTTTCCTGGGGCTCCCAGTGCTTCTCTTAGAGACAAGAGGTGTGGGACGCAGTTCTTGTACCACTCACCACATCTGGCACATTTTGTACGGGGAAGTCGTGATCAATCAGCCTCTGTTTCCTCGTGTATATAACGAACATGATACCAGTCCTATCACCCAGCAGCATTAAAAGGCTCAAACGAAATAACGTGTAGAAAAATTAATAAGAGTTTTGCAAAAGCCAGGTGGTGGCATCATCACCAACATCATTCTGAGTTCTAATAAGGTGATACACGAACAGTGATATACTCACTCAACACCAAAACAACAGGCTGGTCATCCTTTTGCTAAGTGCCTCAACAGCCAAGATGTTTGCATTTTTCTGCATTTTTTTTTTTCCAGAATTCTCATTCCGGTTAACGAGTAGTATGTACTTTCCACCACTGTCAACATACCCCTTGCCCTTCTCAACTGTATTCAAAGAGAACTTCTACGGGCGCCTGGGTGGCTCAGTTGGTTGGGCGACTGCCTTCGGCTCAGGTCATGATCCTGGAGTCCCGGGATCGAGTCCCGCGTCGGGCTCCCTGCTCGGCAGGGGGTCTGCTTCTCCCTCTGCCCTCTTCCCTCTCGTGCTCTCTGTCTCTCATTCTCTCTCTCTCAAATAAATAAATAAAATTAAAAAAAAAAAAAAAAGAGAACTTCTAAAATGTATTGAGACCATCCATGCCTCCTAAGCTCAGGATACAGTCAAAGCAAATCACTACCTTTGGTAGAACATAGGAAATGCACTTATGAAAGTACTTATCGAGCACTGCCTCCAACATGCTTTAGGGAACAGAACTGTATCCCCACTGCCTCTTCCTCTACCTGTACATGTATGTATACACACAATCCACATAATACTTCAGAAGTAAAGTAACAATTTGGCTTCTCTTTACAGATTTTCAGTGATTTTATATAAAACTATAAGCACATTTGGAACATATATTCTTGTCTTCCTGCCAAACCATTATCCTTCCCAAGTTCTTACCCATTCTATCTAATCCCATCTGACTATCTGTGCTAGAAATCTTTCCGATCAATTATGTACAATACGACAAACATTTATGGAGCGCCTGCTACGTACGCAACTGAATGCTAGGGATACAAATTTAAGAACATTCTTCTGTTCTAGTGACACTTTATTTCTAGCCAAGTACAGGTCCCAGTGGGATAAACTACTATCTCTATTCCTATAGCCCTGTTGATTGCACCATATGTTCCTTTTCACACTACAATGCTTCCAACAATGCTCAGAATACAATGGGTGAAGTCTGATCCTATATATATTTTTTTTTTTAAAGATTTTATTTATTTGACAGAGAGAGACACAGTGAGAGAGGGAACACAAGAAGGGGGAGTGGGAGAGGGAGAAGCAGGCTTCCTGCTGAGCAGGGAGCCCGATGTGGGGCTCAATCCCAGGACCTGGGATCATGACCTGAGCCGAAGGCAGACGCTTAACAACTGAGCCACCCAGGTGCCCCTGAAGTTTGATCCTAATAGTAAACTCCCAATCCAAAATTTTATCAAGGTCACATTTTATATAATTTTTATTTATTTATCTGACAGAGAGACATAGCGAGAGAGGGAACACAAGCAGGGAAGGGAGTGGGAGAGGGAGAAGCAGGCTTCCTGCTGAGCAGGGAGCCTGATGTGGGGCTCGATTTCCAGGACCCCAGGATCATGACCTGAGACGCTTAACAACTGAGCCACCCAGGCGCCCCTTATATAATTTTTTAAACTGACATTTATGTTTGCATAGCTGTAACATGAAATACACCATGCCTATAAGCCCAGGCATGTAAATTAACAGTCCTGACTAAAACCACTATTTTTAGTACTGACTGATTACAAAAGTGTCTTAAGAGAAGACTTAAAGACAGAGAAGGAAGAACTGAAAGCTACTCAGAGCCATGCAAATTACTCCAAAAAAAATGTCCCCTAGAAAATATTTGCTCTTAATACTGTATTTTGTTAGTAAAAACATTATGAAGGTCCAATATAACCAAAATGAAAATAAAAACAGGAAAAATAAATATTTGCCACAAAACACAAAGGTTTAATAAGAGCATGAGGCGGGGATGATGAGAAGGCCAAGACACACCAAGATCCCAAGTGTAAAAAAAGTGAGTAACAATCTCAAGAGGGGAAGAAAAATGGCTAATAATATATATAGCCTCTCTAGTAAATGGAGAAATTTTAAATGAAAAGAGATGGCATTTTCCCCCACAAAGATCGTAATATTTTTTTTATTAAGGCAATGACATCTGTGCAGCAAAGGAAACAACTTACAAGAGTGAAAAGACAACCTACTGAATGGGAGAAATTATGTGCAAACCATATAAAGAACTCCTACAACTTGACAACAGTAACAAAAACAAATAATCCAATCCATAATGGGCAAAGGACTTCAACAGACATTTCTCTAGAGAAGACATACAGATGGCCAACAAGCATATAAAAACATACTCTAGGGGCACCTGGGTGGCTCACTCGTTAAGCATCTGCCTTCAGCTCGGGTCATGATTCCAGGGTCCTGGGACAGAGCCCCAAGTCAGGCTCCCTGCTCAGCGGGAAACCTGCTTCTTCCTCTCCCACTCCCCGTTTGTGTTCCCTCTCTCGCTGTGTCCCTCTCTGTCAAATAAATAAATACAATCTTAAAAAAAAAAAAATACTCTACATCACTCATCATCAGGGAAGTGCAAATCAAAACCACAATGAGCTATCACCTCACACCCATTAGGACAGCCACTATAAAAAAAAAAAAAGTAAGTTAATTAATTAAATAAAAATGAAAACAAAAAAACAATAACAAGTGTTGCTGAGGATGCAGAGAAATAAGAACCCTTTCAACCTCCCCTATCCATTTTTTGCTCCCCTCCTCATGCCTTCCCTTTTCCCTTTAAAACAACTGGTGGGAAGCACCTCGGTGGTTCAGTCAGTTGAGCAACCAACTCTTGGTTTCAGCTCAGATCACGATCTAAGGGTTGTTGTGATCAATCCTTGCATCAGCTCCCTGCAGGGTGGAGCCTGCTTAAGATTCTCTCTCTCTGTCCCCGTCTGCCCCTCCTACCCCTCCCTCAGAAAGAAAGAAAGGAAGGAAGGAAGGAGAAAGAAATCAAGAAAGAAAGAGAAAGAAAGAAAAAGGCAGGGAGAGAGAAAGAGAAAGGGAGGGAGAGAAATGGGGGATAGGGATGGGAACAGGGAGGTAGAGAAGGAGAAGGAGAAAAGCTATGCCAACAGGATTTCTGTTGAATTTTCATCCAAATTGATTCTAATATTCCTTTGGAAATGAAATCTGGCAAGAATAGCTAGGGGAAAAAAATCTAACAATAAAAAGAAAAATAGAGGGGCGCCTGGCTGGCTCAGTTGGTGGAGCATGTGATTCTTGATCTCAGGGTCATGAGTTCAAGCTCCATGATGGGCATGGGACCTACTTAAAAAAAAAAAAAGAAAGAAAGAAAGAAAGAAAAATAGAGTAATCAGGGGAGACAAGCCCTTCCAGGTATTTTTACATATTATGAAGCTACAATAACTTAGTTTAGTTGCTGGGAATGCACAGATAGATCAATGGAAAAGAAAATAGAAATTTAGTATATGACAACAGCAGTATTTCAAATCAGTAGAGGAATAATCCATTATTCAGTGACTGGTATTGGGCAACTGAGTAGCCAATGGGGGGGGGGTTAAGATTCATACCTCGCACTTTTTATCAAAATAAACTCCAGATGGATGAAAGATTTAAATGTAAAAAATAAAACCATAAAAACAGAAACTCAAAGTGAGGATGGCATTTCTAGGAATGATTCAAAAGCTAGAAGCTAAAAATGAAAACAGCCATCCATTAGTATTTCTACTTGGAAAAAAAATCACTATCAAGTCAAAAGAGTGAAGACAAATGAGGGAAAAAATACATTAGCAATTCATATCGCGGACAGAGGGCTACATTCTGCAAATCGAGGGAAAAAAGTACAAAACAGAAATTGGGCAAAGTATATGATCTGACATTTCACAGAATATGAAATATAAATCTTAAACTTACCAAACCACCTTCATATTAAAATATATATATAATAAAACATATGCTAAGGAACCCCTCTTCCCGGTATAGGATAAGCAGAGAGGAAAAAGTGTGACAACACCCAGGCCGAATTATGGAGGGAAGCAGATGCCCACACATCGCTGGTGGAGTAGAACTGGCAGAACGTCTCCCAAGCAGGATTTCGCACTATCCAAACTGAACAGTCACATTCTTCTAAGAATCCTTCCTATAGACATACTGGTACGTTTATCGAATGACTTGCATACAAATGTATTTGCTGCAGATTTGTTTTAGAAGCAACATATCAGGGGAAACCTAAATGGCCATCAAAAAGGGAACAAATCAAATATCACCTTTTATGATACATAACATGGTACACCTACAAACAGCCATTAAAAATGAAGCAGCTCTATACAACATTATGTTGAATAATCTCATATACTGTATTTAAGTGGAGGAAGTCAGGTGCTAAAGGCTTTGTATGCTACAGTTTATATAATATATCCACACACATATATATTCAAATATAAGTGCATGGATACCTACATGCATAGAATCTCTCTGGGTGGAAAGAGTAGAAACTGCTACAAGGGTAGCACTGTTATCCAAGGGAAATAGTCCCCCCCCCCCCCACCCCCGCCCCAGGGGAGACAGGAATGGGAGGAAGATTTACATTTTGCAATCTTTTAGTCCATTTGAATTTTGATCATATGCATTAACTACCTGGTCACAGTAGTCAAAATGATGTTGGAGAAGTATATTTTTAAAATATATTGAGGCTTTTTGTTTTGTTTTGTTTTTCAAAAGGAGTTATAAGGGGCGCCTGGCGCCAGTCGGAAGAGCATGCGACTCGATCTCTGGGTCATGAGTTCGAGCCCCATGTAGGGTGTAGAGATCATTTAAATAAATTAAAAAAACTTTTAAAAAATTTAAAAAGGAGTTATAATATGAAATATTCAATAAGATTATTTTGTGACTTGTTTAAAAGAAAAAATCACCCATAAACCTACTCTGAAAAATCATTATTAGCATATAGGTTTATACCCATCCATATATGTATCTATCCTTTTTCTGTCTGTATTTTCTGATTTTTCTAAAATGAACGATTCACAGCTAACAAAAAGTATTTTTAATTTAAACATTTTTTTAACTTCAACTAAACATTAAATCATTTGATTCCTTGGTTATTTTTCTAATAAAAATACATTGCTAAGATTATGGTTTCTCTACCATATGCAAATAAAATTTGGGAGAGACTTTAACAGTCAACAATTAAAACGGAAATAATGGACCCCAAAGGAAAATAAAATAATCTTAGCCTACAATAAAAGGACTAGAAGCACATAAATTCAGGAGATTTTGCTGTTCTTTTTGGTTTCAAACTGAGAGTATATTTGCTTTTACTGTACGCATGGATTATTCTGTTTTGAGATCCTGCTAAAAGATCACAACCCCTCCTACCACTCAGCTTGTGCCCTAGAGACCAGGCAGGCTGCCGCATAAAAATAAATACAGGAAGTGAATTCCAACAACAAAGACATTAGCACCATATGGAAAGCAAGACTCGACCAAGGAAACCCACAACTGGGGTGGGTCAAACCCTGGGATCTGTGAGCAGACCCTCCATACTGTTATCCATTCATCTCTACCTTTGTTTTACTTTTAAATAAGTGACATCTCACAGTTCTATTATTTCGAAGGCATAATTACAATGCTGAAATTACAGTGACATAGCATTGTGTTACTTTTCTTGCAGCCTTCTCCTCTCCTCTCCCTGAACAAAAAGTTTTGGGGGGGGGGTGTATGTGTGTGTGTGTGTGAATTCAAACACAGATAAAATGCACTAACGGTTAAGGGGACTGCCACTTCAATATGGTGTTAAACTACAGGTTACTACTAACATAAGACACTACTCAAGTATAAATATTGATTCAGCACCATAATAGGCAGCCAGGAGGTTTTTTACACAATGTACGCTCTAGTTAGCATGCCACACTACACTTTCAAAGTAGGAAGCACCAGACACATTCAATGTGCTATGCTGGGTTTCTGGGTAAAAACTCTTGAGAGGTACTACACAGTTTATGGTATGTTTTTATTTATTTTTATTTTTATTTTTTTAAGGTATGTTTTAAATCAATTACTGTGGACTGAGCTCTCAATATAAACAGAGTATCATGGGGCGCCTGGGTGGCTCAGTTGGTTAAGCGACTGCCTTCGGCTCAGGTCATGATCCTGGAGTCCCGGGGTCAAGTCCCACATCAGGCTCCCTGCTCAGCGGGGAGTCTGTTTCTCCCTCTGCCCTTCCCCCCTCTCATGCTCTCTCTCAAATAAATAAATAAATAAATAAATCTTTAAAAAATAAATAAACAGAGTATCGTGTAGAAAGTCTGGGTACAGGAGAAGTGGGGAAAACAAGAATCTGAGCCAGATACTGAAGAGTATTAGAATACATCATATAAAACACAAGGAAAACTTCTAAAACTTTATAGCTCTGTTAAATAAAAAAAGTAGCAAAGGATAGATTTTGATGACTTCATATAAGGAAGATACAAGGAGACATTTTCAATAAAGAAATGCAGTTAAGACAAGAGGTAGGGTATTTAATTTTACATATAGAGTTGTATGGTTTTTTTTTTTTCCTTAAGGGACAGACAGATGCAACTCCATGCATACTAAAAAGTAAGTCAAACAAACCCTAAAATGTTCTTATGTGGCTTTAAGTGCTTTACAAAAATCACAATGCAAGAGACAATCACAGAGTTTCATAAGCCTTCTTTCAGCCAACATTGTTTGGTAGTGAACATGCAGTTTTACAATCCCAACTTCCTCTTCCTTTAAGCAAGAAGTCTCACTGTGGATTCAATGAAGACTGAGCCATCCACTCTGCTAGTTCAAAGACCTTAGATGTAAACTTACCCTCCAAGTCCAACAAGACCTTATTAACAACTTTCTCTAAGCACAGAGTTCTGCTCCTTTAAAATACTGAGGGAAGGGGCACCTGGGTGGCTCAGTCGTTAAGTGTCTGCCTTCAACTCAGGTCATGGTCCCAGGGTCCTGGGATCCAGCCCTGCATCGGGCTCCCTGCTCCACGGGGAGTCTGCTTCTCCCTCTCCCACTCCCCCTGCTTGTGTTCCCTCTCTCGCTGTGTCTCTGTCTGCCAAATAAATAAAATCTTTAAAAAAAAAATTAAATTAAATTAAAAAAAAAAATACTGAGGGAAAAAAATACGAGTAAGTGGGAACCAAGGGAGGACATCAGAGGTTCCAACAGCCGGAATGTGCTCTTGGTCACTTTTCCTTTCCATCTCTGGCAGTCCACAAACATTTCTGAGCACCTTCTTTGTGCCATGGGAACATAAAGGTGAAAATGCAAAAGAGATAGGCAGATGGAACCAAAAGTGTAAGGAAAGCCCACGTGGCTGCAACACAGCAAAGCTGAGTGAGCCAGCTGACCTTCCCAAGGCAGGTGACTCATTTTTCATTCTGAGCTGAGTCTCCAAACTCCCCACTTTAAGAGGATGGACTTCCCTTGCCCTCGAGGAGTAACAATTAAAAACAAGAATGAACACGACTACCAAGGAAAACATCTGAAAGTTAGAAACAGAAAGACTCCTCTTGTAAGCCAAAGAACTTATAAAATATGTCTTAGCCACATACATGAAAAACTAGTCCTACAAAAACCACACAAGGTGCCATCAGCACAGAGGTACTAATGACTGTGATTCTCACCAGCCAAACTAGAATACCAAATCTAATAAAATTCGTCACTCCATTCACCTAGTCAAACAGCTATTTAATCTAGTTTGACAAGTACCAAACACAGCTACTCTAAAAACACCATTATGTTAAATATGACAATGTAAGGCAGATACAAATATGCATGTTTACATGTTTGACACCCCGGACACACTCATTAAAAGACAGAATAATACTGGCTTACATGGTGGCTCCTAGGCCTTCTCCTAAAAATACATTTAAGATCTGAGATGAGCTTTCAGACTCAAACATTTAAATTATCTACCATGTTCAAATCACCATGTTACCCAACCATGGACAAAGATGAAGTACATGCTTCTAACCTCAATAAGCTTAAAGTCTAAACAACATGGGGGCATATAATATAGAAATATGATATATTACTTATTGTACATATATACATATACAATTACATACTGTATATAATGTTTACAGTATAAGCACTTATATGTTAAGTGTGAATCAATTTGAGGGGTGGGGAGAAAGGAAGGGCTGGAAGGTTCCAAAGATCCCTACAACTTATCAAAAGTAAAATACAAAATAATATATATGGAATATGGTTTCATTTACATAAAAAGTACGCATAAAGGCAAATGCAAAGAGTAGTAAGCAAAAATTAAAACTGTTGTGTTTGAATTCAAAATATAAGCAATTCCTATCCCCACTTCCTAAAATTTACCTTAATATTGTTAACCTTTTTTTTTAACCACTTATGTATCTTTTAAAAAGCGACCACGCGGGGCACCTGGGTGGCTCAGTCGATTAAGGGTCTGCCTTCAGATCAGGTCATGATCCCAGGGTACTGGGATGGAGCCCCGAGTCCAGCCCAGCATAGGTCTCCCTGCTCAGAGGGAGTCTGCTTCTCCCTCTCCCTCTGCCGCTCCCCACCCCCCCATCATGAGCGTGCCCCCTCTCAAATAAATAAAATCTTAAAAAAAATAAAAAATAAAAAGCGTGCCACGCAACTGTATTACAGTTACTGGGTTATTATCACAAAGATGAAGCAATATTTAAATATTGAATATTTAAATCTTTAAGCCATGCCCTCCTGTTTACATCTCTCTTAAACAATAATTCTAGGGGCGCCTGGGTGGCTCAGTCGTTAAGCGTCTGCCTTCGGCTCAGGTCATGATCCCTGGGTCCTGGGATTGAGCCCCGCATCGGGCTCCCTGCTCTGCGGGATGCCTGCTTCTCCCTCTCCCACTCCCCCTGCTTGTGTTCCCTCTCTCGCTGTGTCTCTCTCTGTCAAATAAATAAATCTTAAAAAATAATAATAATAATTCTAGTGGAAACAATTTGACTTGAGATACTGTTTTCAGAAACAAATGCATCCAAAGCAGTAGTAATGAGACTATGGGGTTTCACCTTGATGAGTAAAAGACGACCCTTACTATGAAAAGCTCCCCTCCCCCAAAATAAACCCACAGACACCAGAACATAATTTAGGGACACCTCTCATGTTACATATATACGCCCAAAACCATCGCCACAGGATCAGACGCCACCAAAAATCCTACCCACGTTAACTAGAAGAGGGCAGAAAGTCTCAATATTGGAAGGGAGGGTGGGGGCGTAGTCATGTTCCCCTCCTGAGTGGCGAAACGACCCACTGTCGTCAGTTCCTCAGTTTCCACCAGTTACAGGAGCTAGCTGGACAGTATTCCCTTCGCGCTGCCTTCTACCCAAAGCGCATCACGGTCCACAGCCCCAGCTCCGCGAGCCTGCTGCCAGCCCCTCCGCCGCCACCCAGAACCTTCTTTCCTTCTCTCCCTCCCCACCCCCTTCTCTGTCTCTTTCCCTCTGCCTCTCGGTCTCTCCGTCTGCACGTCTCTCTCTCTCTCCCCTTTCTCTCTCTCTCTTTCACACACACACACACACACACACACACACACACACAGAGGCGCGCGCGCGCGCGCGCACACGCGGCCCCATCAGCCCGCTCCGCCCGCCAGAGCCGCTCCCTGCGGCTCGGCCCCACCAGGATGCCAGAACCCGATCCGGAAGATGCAACTTGAGGAAGGCTCGCCTCCCGCTGGGGCGCCGGCCGGGGACGCGGTGCACCTGTTCGGGCGCCGGGCCGCCTGCAGCCCGGCGCCGCGCCCGACCCCGCGCCAGCGCCCACCCCGGAGACGCCGCGCCGGCGCTCCCGGCGCCCTCACCTTGCTCGCCGCGGTCCATGTCTCCCGCCCGCCGCCTCGCGTCCTCTGCGCCTCCGCCGCCTGCAGCCCGTCCCGCTCGGATCGCACGCACGCCCGCCGCTCCGCTCCGCACCGCGCCGCGCTCCTCCTCGCCTCCGCCCGCGACTCCCGCGAAGTCCCCTCCCCCGGAGGCGTCGGGCGCGGCGGCGCCGCCCGCCCTCGGCGGGGAGCGCTTTCCCGGGGCGTCACCCAACCACCTGACCCGGCCGACCTGTGCGCTCGGCCACGTCGGCGCGGCGGGCGGCGCCCGGCGAGGAGGGCTGGGCGGGCCGGCTCGCGCCCGGCGGAACTCCGGCGCCGGGAGGGAAGAGCCGGGTGGCGAGGAGGTGGAATCGAGCATGGAGGCTGCGTGCAGACCGCTCGCGAAGCCGGCTGGCGTTCACGTCCCACCCTCAAGTTATTTATAATATCAGAAGTTCCCTCGGAGGCATGGAAGATGCCCTTTCTCTGCCTCCGCAAGCACCTGCTCTTGTGTACTTACTGAGTAGAAAACGCTGGAAGGTTCCTTAGAAATGCCAGTGGCTCTTTCTTCGCTTAGAGTCTTCGTAGTCTCCTACTGCCGAAAACAACATCCTCTGATATCTTCAATAACTAGCAAAACAAGCAAAGAGGGGGAGATTACAAAGAATCTCTCTTTTCACAGACATTGCGGGTTTTTCGGTGACAAATTAGGAATGTATTTTGAGGCTTCATAGTCACTGATCAACAAACAGTTCGAAGTTCCTGGAATAAAACTTTTTTTTTTTAAAGATTTTATTTATTTATTTGAGAGAGAATGAGAGAGAGAACACATGAGAGGGGGGAGGGTCAGAGGGAGGAGCAGACTCCCTGCAGAGCAGGGGGCCCGATGCGGACTCGATCCCGGGACTCCAGGATCATGACCTGAGCCGAAGGCAGTCGCTTAACCAACTGAGCCACCCAGGCACCCAATACTTTTAATTATTATCATCTGCACTCTGTCTTCAAAGTGGTTTTTGCAGGACGCCTGGGTGGCTCAGTCGGTTAAGCGTCTGCCTTCGGCTCAGGTCATGATCCCAGGGTCCTGGGATCGAGTCCCTCATCGGGCTCCCTGCTCCGCGGGGAGCCTGCTTCTCCCTCTGCCTCTGCCTCTCTCTCTCTATCTCTCATGAATAAATAAATAAAATCTTTTTTAAAAAAAAGTGGTTTTTGCATTTACTCGTTTCCCATAGAACCACTTTGAATATGTCGTTCTGGGGGGGTACGTCGAGCTTCAAACTCAAAATACGCCCTAATCGGAGCCCTACGAGCTGTGGCCCAAACAATGTCATACGAAGTAACCATAAGCCATCTACGTCTGCGAGTGAAGCAACCTTCCGTTTGTGTCATGTACCTGGAGACTCTGACTTGACCTTCATCTTTCAGCATAGTATAGTACTCCACACGCACTAGGCATTTATTAATATACTTTAAAATTATCCATAGGTACCTGAAGCGACTCCACATCTCCTCCATGCCATTGCACTGTAAGCGAGGTGTAGCTCCTTGCCTGCGTCTCCAACGTCTTCTCGGTGAAGTTTATTCTGTGTACCCCAACCAGAGGACATCTCTCCTCTTTGATTTCTCCTACTCCCACTGCGCTTGGCCTCCCTGGTGGCACTGACCTAGCATTCATCTCTCCAGCCAGCCTGCTACGGCCATAGCTTTACGTGTTTCACGGCCCTAAGTTAGAACCTAGTAGCTTATAAGCTAGAAGAGGTCAAGGATCATTTTGCTCACCTTTTCATCCCTTTCATTAGACCATGCATTTAATAAACATTTTAAGTATAGCTTTCAGGTTTAAATTTTAAAACAAGTTATATTGGATTCACTAACAATCTAGTGTTTGTAACAAAGAGGTACAATGATAGGCTTTTTTTTAAGTGATTTTTTAAATGTAAATTTAAAAAAATTTTTTAAGTGATTTTTTAAATGTAAGGTAAATTTTGGCATTGGCAGAAAATTCTATAATCTGGTAAAGAATTTTTTACTCACTGCTGTTTAGATCTCTTGTACAGAGATAAAAATCTGGAGAGATAAACTCTCAACGTATAGACTAACTTGTAGACACATAAACAGCCCTTGAAAATTGTGTTGTTGAAAACAGTATTTATTCTATTTGTATCTATTTAATATGCTAGATGACTTTAATTGTATGTTGGAAGAAAAAAATGCCCTGGTTTCTTTTTGAAGAATTTAGTTGCTTGTTCACATCTGTGGCAGAGATGGCTAATAGCCTACCCAATATCCAGTTTTCCCATGTTCCTTCCTAAAAACCCAAATATTGTTTGGGATAGCAATGTGTACAGCTGAAACCTCACTGGTCACTTCAGGCTCCCTTGCAGCTGGGCATGCCTCTCTGACACATTAGTGACCAATGAGATATGAGCCAGGTTTGCCAGCTGGAACCTTCAATAAATCATTTTAAAAGAAGACAGACTTGTCTTCTTTTGTTCTTCACCCTCCCCCTTCCCACCTAGAAGGGCAGCAGCCATCTTGCAAGCATGCGGAAGAAAGCCGCAAGCAAGGATGGCAGAGTAGAAAGGCAGAAAGAACCCGGGTCTTCAGTGGCATTGTGGAGCTTCTTACAGGAATAAAATAAATGCCTGAGTTTTTAAAGCCATTATAGTTAGTTTCCTGTTACATGGAGACAAAAGCAATCTTAACTGATGCAATGTGCCATTTAAAAATCCCTGTCTGGCCTGCACCAACATAGGTGGCTTCATGCAATCCTGAGCCTTAGGCAAATATTAACTTAATTTTCTGTATGAGGTTAAATAAGCACTGTTCACTCCATAAACAACCCAGCAAATGATATTTCCACATAAGCCTGCTTTTCTCTTGTGTCTTCCTTCTACTTAATTTTTGTTCCCTGACAAACAGAATCTACACTTATAACTCACACTGTGTTACGTCTGATGTAAACAGAGCTTATGTTTTAGCACTCTGAGGAATCTCTGGAGAATAGCTAGCACTTAAACAGAGCACCTGGGTACATTTAGCTGAATCATCCCTTAAAAGGCTCACTCAATACAGGAGAGAGACACTAGATTTACTTTGTAGTGTTGTTGTTAATGGTGACATGGATTTTTTTTTTTCAAATATCCATCCATTGGTGAAATTTATACAAGGAAACTTCCCCAAAAGCAGATGAATGAAGCAAATGAAAATATTGGAAAGGATAGAAATAGAAGCTCTACATTATAAGTGGAAACTTCTACACTCTGTCCTCATTGTCCTCATTCCCCATCAGATAGCCAGCAGAAAGCACACAAAATGTATGGGTGGTCAGATGCTCTCTGTAGACCCACTCTTCTCATTTGTGGGGCCTGGAACAAGGGTACAAATGGAGGGCCCTGGCTTTCTCTTCGGGCTCCGTCTTTTCACCTAGGGCTCTGTCCTATATCCATGTGGGCCTGGCATGCTTCTCTGTATGAGCAGCTTAACCACATACCTCTTCTTTATCCACCCCTTCCCATCAGCCACCCCATGGTCATACCTCTGGACTAGGGTTGCACTCAAAAAGACTCTCTTGGGGAAAAGGCCAAAGGCCCGGAAAACATAGGTTGGTTTTTTTTAAGATTTCTTTTTTTTAATTTATTTATTTGACAGAGAGAGAGAGAGGGAACAGAAGCAGGGGGAGTGGGAGAGGGAGAAGCAGGCTTCCCGCCAAGCAGGGAGCCCTATGAGGAGCTCTATCCCAGGACCCCTGGATCATGACCCAAGCTGAAGGCAGACGCTCAACAATTGAGCCACCCAGGCGCCCTGAAAACATAGGTTTAGATGGGAGATATTTGGACCTGCAGGTACACAGTGCATGGTCTATAAACAGGGTGCAGGAATGGATGGGTATGTCCACTTGGCACCAAAGACTCCTCACCCTGAGCTGGGACACTGGTGGGCAGTCTCTAAAGCCCGGGGCCCAGTAAGGGAGTCCCCAATAGCTTGGGTCTAGAGTTGCCAGGTAAGATATGGGACACCCAGTTCAATTTGAATCTCAGATAAACAACAAGTAATTGTTAGTATAAGTATATCCCCTATAATACTTGCAACATGCTTATACTAAAATAAATTATTCATTATTTATCTGAAATTCTTCATGGGGGCCTTTTATTTGCCAACTCTCTCAATCCAAAGTGTTCCTAAGGGCAGTTCTGGCTCCCGGATTAGTCAAATAACTGAAGGCATATGAAGGCATATGACACCACAACTTTGAAAAAAGTGATCATATTCCAGCAGAAAGAGAGACTCTTAATGCTTGAACTGTGCAAGTAAACTAGATACATATACTGGGGGAGGGTTTGGAAGCCCAAGAAACCAAAAACAAGTCTTGGAGAAATATTGATTTAATGTCTGGTAATTAATACTTAATTGCTTAAGAAAATATCATGACCATCTATATTCTCAGCCATGTAAAAGACAGACTGTGAGTATGAAATAAACACCTTATAAAATGTGTAAAAATGGGGGCGCCTGGGTGCTCAGTCGATTAAGCGTCTGCCTTTGGCTCAGGTCATGATCCCAGGGTCCTGGGATCAAGCCCCGCATTGGGCTCCCTGCTTGGCTGGAAGCCTGCTTCTCCCTCGCCCTCCACCTGATGCTCCCCCTGCTTATGGTCGCTCTCCCTCTGTCAAATAAATAAAATCTTTTTAAAAAAATAAATAAGTAAAATAAAATGTGTAAAAGTGGGTATTGGCAGGAAAGAGTACTTCATACTAATGGAAGGGAGACGTGTAAATCCCTGAATGTTAACAGAAAGTAATCTCACTTTATTGATTTGGGCTATGTTAAGAAAAGCCATAGACCACTTAATCTTCCTTGTATTTTTTTTTTTTAAGATTTTTTATTTATTTTTCAACAGAGGGAGAGAGACAGCGAGAGAGGGAACACAAGCAGGGGGAGTGGGAGAGGGAGAAGCAGGCTTCCCGCAGAGCAGGGAGCCCGATGTGGGACTCGATCCCAGGACCCTGGGATCATGACCTGAGCTGAAGGCAGACACTTAACGACTGAGCCACCCAGGCGCCCCCTTGTATTTTTTTTAAGTCATTTTGAACTCTGTGTGTTTATCAAGTTACATCATGGGAGCTGGGTGGGGAGGGAAGAACAGGGGGAGCCATAGTTCTTTTTGCCCTGGACTCTCCGCCATCACTGTTCTCAAATATTTTCATCTGTCCTTTAGACTATTGTATGGTATAAACTGTATCAATTATATGTAGATCCAATATTGAAGTGACTTAACATTTGTACATTTTTCTTTTTCTTTTTCTTTTTTTTAAGATTTTTATTTATTTATTTAACAGAGAGAGATACAGCAAGAGAGG